TTAGTTCTTGGCGGACACAACATCTTTGTTGGTATGTGGTGCTGCTGAGGATCGAACCCGGGCCGCACGCATGCTAGGCGAGCGCGCTACCGCTTGAGCCACATCCCCAGCCCGAGTTTACATTTCAAGTACTCAGCTAATCTTGACAAACAAACAAACAAAATCAAGGTTATGTGAATAGAAGTCGCATTCGAACTCAGTAAAGGACATCACGGTTAAGCACTGTGCCACTGTGTCCCTGCACAGTAGGTCAGCTCTGACCTGCACAGTAGGTCAGCTCTAAGGCACAACGGGGGTGAATTCCACTATACATTCCCACTCACAGTGATTAGGAATACCGGTTTCCCTTAAAATGTTTACCATTACAAAAATAGGACTTTATTTCATTTTGCATTTCTCTGATTACTGATCAAATTAAGTATTTGCTTTTCATATGCGTCCTGGTCAGTTGTCTTGACTTTCCTGTTAACTGTCTGTGGTGGAAGAGACAAGCAGATGGGTTTGTCTGATGAATTTTCCCTGCTTCTTACTCGGGCTGTTCAATGTCTCAACCTCCCAGAAGAGTAAAACGTTGGCTTTAGCAGACAATTTCCTACAACTGACACGGCGGTTCTCATGTCCACAACAACCCCTCATTGTGCACACAGGCGGGTTTCACCTATACATCCCTTAAAAAAGAAATCTCAAAAATAAAAATGGAGGGGCTTTGGCTGTGGCTCAGTGACAGAGTGCTTGCCTAGTGTGGGTGAGGCACTGGGTTCCATCCTTAGCACCACCCACAAAAATAAGCAGATAATAGAAAGGATGCTTTCCATCTACAACTACATTTTTTTTTTAAATGGAGAGAGCAGGGCACAGTGGAGCATGCTTGTAATCCCAGTGGCTCAGGAGGCTGAGGCAGGAGGATGGCAAGTTCCAGACCAGCCTCAGCCACTTAACAAGGCCCTATCTCCAAATTTAAAAATTAAAAGGCCTGGAGATATGGCTCATCAGTTAAGCACCCCTGGGTTCAATCCTCGGTACCGAAAAAATAAAATAAAAAATAAAAAGAAAATGGAGAGAAGCTGCATGCATGCTCATGGGGTGATGAGAAAGGCAGCATCGTGTGGTCATCGTGGTACACACTGCCCTTGTAAACCGTGGCGGGAACAGTGACCTACGTCTTTGTCTGAACTTACCCCAGCTCCTCACACTCAAGCACGGCCTAAGCCTCACAGAGGACCACCACGGCTTATTAATGGCACAGCGGCAGAAAGCCCTTGTGGGCAGAAGGACCCGAGACCTTATGGGAGACCTTATGGGGCGTGTCTTGACCCAGTACAGTAGGATTTGTTAAGCACGAAGGCTTCCGATCCCTCTGCAGAGCTACGCACGACCGCTCCACTCACCAAAGGTTGAGGACCCAATTGTTTTCCTGGGTGTTCTAGATTTTCCTTAATGAGGTCACTGGGGTGGATCCAGCTCAAGAATGGCCTAGATCGACCCCAGGAGTAAGCACATTCCTATCTACAAGAGGATCACTGGGTCATCAGTCGCACCCTCCTGGGAATGAGAGACCCAGAGAGTAGTGTGTGTGTGTGTGTGTGTGGTGTGTGTTTAGTCTAGTTGAGATTAATTGATGTTCCACAATTTTGTGTGGTTTGCTTTATGATAATTAGAATTTGAGAGGGCTGTCTCTGATCTATGCTCACGACTATTTAATATTAGTTTTCTTGGACCACCACAACCAAGAACACAAAACCAAGTGGCTTAAACAGTGGAAATTATCGTCTCACAGTCCTGAGGCCAGAAGTCTGCGATCAAGGTTTGGGCGAGACTTCTTCCTCTGAAGGCCCCAGGGAGGGATTTGTTCCTAGTATTAGAACTTCAACATCTTTTTGGAAAACACAGTTCCATCCCTAACATACATCAAAACCAGCAGGGTGAATGTAAGACTGCTCACCATAGGTCTCGGCTTCCAGCAGCTTCAACGAGTGGAACCATAGTTTTCAAGGTATTTCAGAGATTATCTTATTCAAGAGAGCGGTTGTATGTCTAAGCACTGTCCAGTGAAACAGGTGATTTTTTAATTGTGTTAGTCAGTTTTCCATTACTATAACAAATAACTGAGGCAATCAACTTGTGAAGAGAAAAGGTTTTATCTTGGCTCTCAGTTTTGGAGTCCATCATCCGTTGGCCCCATTATTTTGGGCCTATGACAAGGGGTGTGTGTTGGAGTGAAAACACTTGTGAGCCAGGGACCAGTGGAAGAGAAAAGGTCAAGTTCCCACAGTTCCTTTTGGGGGACCATACCCAGTGACCTGAGGACCTCCCACGAGACCCCACCTCTCACCACTTCCCAACAGCACCACATGTCTCGGCTTTTAATTCCAAGGCCTTTGAGGGAAATTCCCTGTTGAAACTACAGCACTGATGCACAGGGGATAAAGAGTCTGCATTCCTTTTGCTTTGTGTTGTTTCTATTTTGTGGTACTGGACTTTGAACCCAGTACTTGGCACATGCTAGGTAAGTGATTATTACCGAGCTACATCCCCAGTTACCACCCCACCCCCTTTAAAAAAATTCCGTCTCATTAAGTTGCTGAGGTTGGCCCTGAACTTGTTATCCTCCTGCCTCAGCCTGCTGAAGTACCACCATCCCAGACTACATCACTTTTAAGACTAAGAAATAAATCATCTTAAAAAGGGATTTTGAAAGATATCATAGACATGAAACATCATTGAATGAAAATCTTAGTGACATCAGTGTTTTAACATAATAATCGTGAAGTAGTAACAATGGTGATAAAATACATCTTGGTTTATGGATTTTTTTAAAAGAATGAATTATTACTATTTTTAATTCCGGCATCAGGAGAAGCGTTCTGACTATCTGTGTGTGGTACAATGGGAAATATATATTTGGTCTTTGTCACCAGTCCTTGGCACAGAGCTCCTAACACTCTGGGAATTTCCTGTGATGCGCGTCAGTCATCATTCATAACAAGCTGTTAGAGCTGTTCTGAATTTATGCCCATGGGAGGGCTGGTGGCTGTGGCTCTGGACGGCTTCAGGTTAGGGGCTGGTCAGCAGAGAGATGAAGCCTTGATGGAGAGTCGGGGCCTTCCACCCCACCCCTGACAATGGTGCGCAATCAGTCAACCCAGTGAAGACTCCACGCGATGCTCTGGATGACAGGGTTCAGAGAGCTTCCGCTCTGGTGCACAGGGCCAGGTTCTGGGGGATGGACGTGCCTGGAGAGGGCATGGACGCTCCGTTCCCCTCAACCCCGTACCTTACCCCAGGCGTCTGTTCCACTGGGGGATCCCTGAGTGGCCTCCTTTCTCCTTCTGGTAAAGCAGTAGCAGTAAGGGACAGTGTGTTCCAGAGTTCTGCAGGGTGTCTTAGAGGAGGGGCTTGTGGGAACCTTTGCACGTGCAGCAAGTCAGACAGAAATCCCAGGCAAGCACCCAGGAGTCAGTACGCGCAGCTGGCGTCTGAAGTCAGTGCCGTCCTGAGGTCCGGGCCCGGACACCCGTGAAGTCTGAGGCTGACTCTGGGCGGTTAGAGTCACCATGGAATTCAGATGTTGGAGGCCGACCTGGTTTTCCGTCAGATAGCTGGTGTTAGCTGAGACATCACATATCTGGTGACAAGGGAGGAAAAGAAACTGTGAGACATTGATTTGCCGAGCTGACTCAAGAGATAAGACTAGAGCTTTGACTGGTATGAGTCTCCCCAGGACCACCACCTGCCAGGTGGGAGCCTCCTTCATACCAATCATGAACTACAAAGGGAAAAACGATTTCCTGCCCGCTTCCTCCTGCAGCCCCCACTTCCTGACAGAGATGAGGAGTTCAGGACGTTTCTTTATCACGATGACTACCACACTCAAGCTTGGCGGACTTCTAACTTTTGTAGTTCTCCGTGGGAATTGGAATCCTTGGCTTATTGTTTCTGAATCTGAGATTTTGGAGACAGGAAAGATTAAATAGCTGTACAGAGAAATAAATGGTTTGAGAGAAAATATACTCTACAGAAACAGTGTGGTTTGGGATGGATGTGTCATGTCAGGATGAGCTTATGAGCAGGTGATGTAGTCTATAAGCAGGAAATGTGGAAACTGCCAGTGTTACTTTACCAAGACTGGTACAGCAACCTTGCCTCCTCCCTCCCTCTGTGAGCACATCTCCAGTCCCGTTGGAGGACATCCACAGAACTTGACATCATCAAAGCTGAGCAGGGAGGGGTCCAGGAGAGGGTGCTGCAGAAAGGCCAAAGGGGAGATTGAAAATGGACTTTGGGTTGAGTGACCTTGGACTATGCCAAGCTGTCTGTGTCAGTTCCGGGGGTCAGACAGGTAAGGAGCACAGAGTGGGGAAATGGAGACTTCTATCCTGGTGAGTTTGGCTATTTATCTTCTTGAATGAAAAGACAAGTCAGCAGCTGGACAAGTGCATTTCTATGTCTTAGTCTGAAATAAGATTGGCATCTGGAACTCATAAAAGAACTCTTAAAAATGAGAACTTCTCAAAAAAGTTTTTCTCAAAGATGAGAAGATATCATCCAATTAAAAAATTAACCAAAAATTTGAAGATGTATTCCACAAAAGAAGGCAGACAATAGTCAATGAGTATAAAAAACGAATGTTGCTACAGTATAATGTAAAATACTCAACACGAGGAAATCACCGTTTAAGCCACACAGTCTCCAACCTGGTCTCCAAGATGTTCCTCAGGTGTTTCTCAGGTATCTCTGGCTGGAAGCCTTGACTCGGACCCTCCACTCCACCTGGAATGTTCTTCCCTGGTGCCTCAGGCCTGGTGGTAGCCTGCCAGGAGTGCCTGGCGTCGCCTTTTGCTTTTTCTAGTACCAAGTGTGCACCGTTTCTCTCCCTCTTGCTTTCGGCCTATCCCAAGGATCCATGTGGCAGCTCCCACAGAGGTGATGTGGGATTCCAGTGATTCCTACCTCCTGGTGTGCGTGTTCCTGTCCAGATCTCTTCTGTGACCAAGAGGGCCCAGCCACGTGACAAGATGATGCTATGTGTTTCCAAGGCTGGGTTACCAGACACCCTGCCCCTTCGGTGTGGCTCTCCTTAGGGGTCAGGGAGCTGCCACGTAGTGACCATATTCATATGGAGAGGCTGAAGGCCCTACACACCCAGCACTCGTCTGTCTGCCCAGCATGAGGCACCTAGATGGCCTTGTGAGGATCCTCCAGTCCCTGAAGGCCTCCAGTGACATCTGCCTGCCACCTCCTGGGGTACTCTGAAACATCCCACGTAGCTCAGCCTCTCCGAGTTCTTGGCCTGCTGGATCATGTGAAATGATAAGCCAAGTTCACTGTTTGAAGCTGCTGTATTCTGCAGCCTTTGGTTATGAAGCAACCCATAACTGACATAGGTGGGAAGGAGTGTGGGCCTGCAGTTTGGCCTTGGTCACTGAGAAGGCTTGTGCTTTCTGATTTTACTTACTGTGTTTCTCTTTCAGTTCTGAACCAAGAGGGAGAGGGGAAGAAGGAGTGAGAGACAGGGAACGCAGGCTGGAGTTATTGACCAGAAAACCACGGGAAATGGCCAAAGGGGCCAGGATCTCCTCCTCCGAGGTACACAGTCCCACAGAAGAGTCCTGCTGAGAGACTGAGGTTTTCGGAGCAGGGCTCAGAGGACCCTTCTTTGCAGCCTCTGTCTGGAGGGGTTTGGAACTAAGTGCTTCAAGACCGACTCTTAAAACTTGCTTATTCTAAAAGCATCTGTCAGGGCCCCCAAGGAAAGGTAAAAGGAGGAAAAACCCAAAGATAAACAACTGGTAGACCTCAAACAACACCCTGCAGAGCAGCCCCCAGTTGAGAGGCACCAGGGTGGGCAGAGGATGCCCGAGGAAGGAGCCTGGGGCCCAGGAAGTCTGATGGACTTTACCACCCAGCCGAGAGTGGGCATTTTCTCCCGTCCTCCCTCTGGATTTCCAGGGGGGCCCTGGCCAGCTGCAATCAGACCCCCTCATCTGTACTAGTAATGAGAACTGCGTGAGATGTGCCTCCAGACAAATTGGGCAGAGAGAGCTTGAGGCCTAAACAATTTGAACAGGGTGGGGCTTGGGCTGGTGCCGCCATGTTGTCAGCAGACCACAGCTAGAGAACTTTTATTTTCTGCCATGTCTGAATCTGTGGGGGGCAATTCCCGGCAGGCTAGCTCACCAGCCTCCTGTGGGTCTGGCCCAGAGGCCAGGTCTCTCCCTAATTCACACCAATTAACAGAGAATAACACTCCAGCAAAAACACTAAACAAACTGCTTGGTAATCAGTTAAAAGATAAAAACAAACAACAGAATGGCAGGATAATCCAAATCTTTCCTCCAAGAGGGGGGGGGGGAAAGGAAATTCCTCAGTTACAAA